CTCATGCGGACGTGTCCCAGCTCAGCCACAGCAACAGCTCATATTAGCCAGCTAAACTATTACTACCCTGTTAGAAAAAATATATAGCTGCTCCCTCGCTGTATTATGGGTTTGCTACAGTATGTGTGGAGAAATGTGCTGCTGGTTACGTTTGTGAGACAATCAGCTGATTACTATTATTATATTAAATTATATATTTAAACCCTTGATCCTCACCTGACTATGGCTTTGTAAACTGCATCCATGATGTGGTTTATAATGGACTGTGGTACAGAAACAGTGACAATGTTACACACTCTTGGCTTACTCTGGCTATTCTCTGCTGTCTCAGCCGACGAGATGTTTGTCCCGTTTTAGCAACCGTAGCTTCTTCGAAAGGGAGGGGTGAGCAGTGGGCTGAGCCCTTAGTGCAAACCTGGTGCAAACTCGCAACCGAACCACTAGATGTCGCTAAAAATCACACATTGCTCCTTTAAAAAGTTATCTTTTAGCTCATGTTGACATATTTTGTTTTCTATGGTTTCTACATTACATTGAGAAACTTTACATTCACTCTCAAGATTTTTACAATTACTTGAGAAAGATATTTCAGTTGTTAATTTCCCTGTAATTAATAAAGACACGAATTGTATTTGATTTTGAAACACCATTTGAGTTTGCAATCCTTTCCAAGTAGGCTGCACTCTATTGACCGTTAATGCAGCCGGACATTTTTTTTTTAAGTCCTCCAATCACAGACATGCGCTGTTGACAGGAATTACATCATGCCAACATGGACAGGGGAAGTATAATTTCGGTGCATTGTGATTAAGTCATAAATAAATTATCTTAAATTAGCCTCTTAAAACCTTTTAAGATTTGCCTAGCATACCCTTTAAATAGATTAATTGAACATATTTTGGTAAAACTCGACATTAATTGTGGTAGAGTTATTGATAAGTGAAGAGCAATGATACAGAACATTTCCAGTGGATCATTTTTGACAGATGTATGATGTCCGCCGATTTCCAGCAACTCTTCAGGGCTGATAAAACGATGGTAAAATAGTAGTCAGACATCCTCAATGATAAGAAAGAGGTATCTTACTTGCCTTCCGGTTATTCACTAATAGAAAGGATATGTGGGTCGCTGAGGTCATGTACAGCAACATGGAGCTGATTCTCTAAATCACTATGAGTTGCAATTGATGACCGTGTCCTTAACAAACTGTGGTAGTTTTGTTTCACAGGAATGTAATCTCAATTCACTTGAATCAGCTTTGTGCATGTTCTTTCTCCAAATTAGGTTTGACCAAGGTTATTTATCACATCATCATGTAGTTAATTGAGATTAAGTGAAAGTTAGACACAGCCACAATTCATTAGTTTTCTTTTCAACATAAAATCAGTTGTATGTCCTGGAGCTAAATGACAAGAAAACTAAATTTATTTAGTCTTAAATTAAAGGAGGGAATCTGAGTCATATCTACAGTAGAGACCAGAATATCATAGAGATTTGGGGGTGGGCCACCCTAGCAACGGCATAGCAATTCCCTGGCAACCGCTCACAATCAATTCGCATTATGTCAGCTATTTATGTCAGCCCTTACAAAATGTATCTAGTTTTTTTGTGGTGGTAGTTGTTTTTATTGATATTATCATTCGACTGATCACTTCTGGTTTGTTACAAGGCAACTGGCTGATAATAGTTGCCATGGGAATCTTAAGTATGAGTTGGACTTGTGCTGTTAAAGAGGCCACAGGTTATTTTTGTGTATGCGTAGTGTGAGTCAGACTATACCAAATACTGCTGACATCCCTTCCCAAAGTGCACTTGCACCACTTCTGTCTAATGATCTCCTACCAAAGCAGCAAAATAACAATGTGTGAACATGACGGTTAGCCCACCAAATACCAAATCTGTAGTGTAAAACAACCAGGGGATCAGAGAGGATATTTTTCCACAGAAAAATCATTGTATTATTTCACTAAAGGAGCACATAAAGGGGAAACAGAGCAAGAAAGTGCATTAGGAAGAGGGAGAGGGAGTCGAGAGTTTCCTCCCACTTACAGGAAGTCCCTGCTGTGCAGATGCAAAGCGTCACTAGTGGGGCTGACTTATCTGTGCTGAGGTAAAGCAACAGACCACTTTTTGATTCAGACAAGAGATGAGATAAAAATGAAATGTTTACACGGCTATTAAGATCAGGACACTTCACACAGTCTCACACAAAGGCAAGGTCCTCCTTTTTCTTTTCCGTGCCGTGATTCTGGACCTCCTCGCGCCACATAGTGAGGTTTAAAGGGCAGGGGCCAAAGACCACAAAAAAGGATGAGAGATCACTCCAAACATCAAACATCCTGGAAACACAGAGGGAGGAAGCAGTTTCATTAGCCTGTGGAAGAATTCAGACCAAAACAAAACAAGCAAGAACAGTTTGTGCGTATTTTTGCACGCACAGGAATGTGTGTTTGTAGGCTGCTCCGTTTCTACCATATAGTGATATGTCTGTAATCAGACATGGTAAAGCTTACTTGTTTGCGTTTGTGTGCAACAGAGAAGAGAGCTTTGAATGTGGAGGATTTATTGGAGGTTGAACTCTAAGTTTGTGTGAGTAATATACGGAAGGACGTAGGAGAGGGAGGAGAAGGAAGAGATGAGAGGAGGTTACCCGTAATAACAAACCAGGAGATGCTGAAAAGAGAGAGACTATGTTCTAAAATGCCACAGTATATACTGCATCTATCTAGAATTAATTACCATGAAAATTGTATAAATAATGAGCTTATCCTTTCACCAGAAATCCAATAACCGTGATTTTAACGGTAAAATACTGTAAAAATGCTACAGTGCAAAGAAAGTTTCCGTATATACACAGTAAATAACTGTGATTTAATTTTACAGTAAAATACCGTTAAATTTACAGTTTTTGAAAGTGAAAAAGAACAAATCATTGTATAATTTACAGTGAAAAACCGTAAATTGCCATTCCCACAATTCCCTGTGTGACACTTCACATTTTATGTATTTTTGTTGAAATAATTATGGTTCCTCGTAGTTTTATTGTTTTTTTTCTAATCAGTTATGTACATTAGGGTTATATGTTACATTTAATGTTGTTAAATTAATGTTCATTGCATTTTTTTAATCCATGATGCACTGTAAAAAATATTTTCAAGATTTGTTATCACAACATATTTTCTTTTGTCAAATCAACTTTATAGTAATTTATTTAGTTGAGATAACTTATTATTTTGAGTTTCTGATGGTTAAATTAATCTACTTCATTGTATTAACTCACTTTTTCCAGTTCAATCAACTTAAAATTTTAAGGCAACCCAGGTTACTTACTTTTTTAAGTTAAACCAACAATATTTTTTTACAGTGTGGTGCTTAATGTTTGTGTGAATGACATTGTGCAGCTTCTTTAAATAAGTATTGCTTTATACAAATATTCACTTGTGATGAGCTGTGATTGCTCATTTAACTCGCATCACTGCTGTGATGATTGTTGGTTGTCGGTGTATTACAATGGTCTAAAACAGATATCAATATATCAATAAGTTGGTAAATCCACATTTTAGCAGAAAACAAAATACGGTTTATTACTGTAAATTTTAAGTGAAGTCCGTAAAACCATCCTACCGTATTTTTAACGGTAAAGTTCTGGCAACCACAGCTGCTGGTTTTTTACCGTAAAATATACGGTTTATTTTTTACAGTGTATGTACATTTAGAAATTTAAATCAATCACAAAATGTCATAACTCCTGGTGGTCTGATCAAATAACGAGTCAAGAAATACATTAATTTTGCTGCTGAACTTCCGTTCATTTGTCATGAGGAAAAGAAAGTCCAGATTGAGCGCATTGGATTGTGGGATGCAATGAGTCTGGGTATTTCGTGCATAAGGAAAATTATTATAGCCTACTGCACACAGCAGAAATAAGAAGAGTGACGTGGTAGTATGCTGTATTCAGCATTGTCAGAGAAAAAGCGAGTTACATAGTGAGTAAGGGTGCAACATATCCTGTTTTGGAAACCGTAGCCACTGGTGTGTGTGCGCGGTTGACCGGATGAGGTCAAAGGTGCAAAGGGGGTTCAGATAAGCAGCATAGGGAATTGGAGAATGAATGGAAGGGCAGTTGTTCAGCTGGGTCATTGGCAGACATTTCAAAAATGTAACACATTGGCCCTCTTGGAGGCAGGGAAAGAGAAAGGGGAACACAGTTTATCAGCCCACTCTACGCTTCTTATTTACGACCAACCATAACCGGGAGGTGCTGGCCTGGCGCGCAGCATGTCTTTCCCGTCACGCTCTGCGTATGGGAAGCCAACAGCCGAGGTCCTCCCTAAGCTTTATTGATCTGGAAGTTGTTTTGTCAGGGTGAGGGCTGACGAGGACGACACAAGACGAGACGCTCCCGCAGAAAGCCAAACGGAGAACAGAAACAGAGCGGAGGAAAAGCCAATAAAAGTGTAATGGACTGCACAAAAATAGAATGTTTTAATTGGGAGGAAGTGGGCGAAAAAACTGGAACAATGAGGAGGAAGAAAGGCATGTGATTAAAATGCCGGAGGTCCAGATGGACCCCACCTCACCTCACACCAAACGCTCACACAGTGGCAGGGACCACAGAGCGAGTCCTGCCTTCTCATCTCTCCAGCGACCTGTTTTTCCTGTGTATTCCCATGCAAAAGGTCAGGTCATTGTTGCACAATGATAAAGTAGATGTTCATCCTGTGTGGGGCACAGTGATCTTGTAGCTATACAGCAAATACGTCAAGCGGCTATATAATGCCTAAACAAATAATTAATTCACGTTAGCTGAGTCACAAATGTCCACAATCAATATATATATATATATTTAAAAACTATTTATCTATCTATCTGGTGCCACATGGCTGTGCAACAGTGCTGTAAACATTTTTTCTACATCTCTCTCTCTCTTCTCCTCCTCCTCTCCCGCCTGTCTTTAGACTAGCACACTGTGTCATTCCCTTTCTCACTTCTCTCCTCCTCCCACCTTGAGCTATACATCGCATTGACTGGCCCGTCACTCACTGGATGATGATGTGGGAGGATAGCCTTCAAACACAGAGTGTGTGCCTCACAATAAACGCGCACCTTGCGTTTTGTAGTACTGAATCTTCTTCTGAGTTTATCATTCGAGTTTTGTGAACGCAGATTTGAAGGCGGTTTTTACTTTGACTTTTTGTGTCGTGTGTGCTATCGCGCGCATTCTGAATTAAATCCAAACCCGCTGAGATTTACATATATTCTTCAGTCGGGAAAACATCAAGGAGAAGAGGACACGGTGAACAATTTTTAACTACAGAAGCGTCAATACTCATTAACAAAGTTTCCAAGAAATTCACAGGCGCAACGAGAAGATTTCCTCTTTGCGAATCACGTTTCCTCAGCGCATTTGGAGAAAGAGGGGGGCTCGAGAAATCATGGTGGTTTCTATAGAGAGGTCAAGAGACCAAAGTTTCACTCCTGTAAGTTGAATAAGTCGGTTTGAGCTGCAATAATCGACGCGTTTTCTCCGAGGGAACAGTTTTGCCTCAACATTCAGGAGACACGGATTTTAACGGTTAAAGACGGCAGATTTGCAAGTGGTGATTCCAAAAGACGTCCTAATCTGTGGTAATATATCAATTAAATTAATTGTAGCCTACTATGTTTAGTCTATTCAGTAAAGCTTTATTTAAAAGTGTGTTATATATTAACGTTATGAACGCGTCTCCAAACCCCATGGTTCAGTTTTATTGTTTTCGAACACCAAGTGCGAATGTGGTTGAGAACTTACCCTGTGAAATATATTATTTGGCTATTATAATTAAATAACTATTATTATATGATAGTCTTCTCAATTATAAAGAATGTAATTATATAAATGTTTAATTAACGGTACCCTCTAAAAAATATAGTTTTCAAAAGGTGATTTTTTTTTTCCTTCGCAGTATGCCATTACTACTTTGGGTCCTCCAAAAAGAACCTTTCAGTGAACAGTTTTTTTAAAAGAACTACATTTTTCTTGGTGCAAATAAATGTTTAATGATCTGAAGAAACTTTTTGTACTATATAAAGAAAGAACATTTTGTTATCGAAATGATTCTATGGATTTTGTCAATTATGGATGGTGATGCCATTATAGAACAGTTATTTTTCATATTATCACATTCTACTTTTTGTTTAAGTAGTATGATATTTTCTTTTCTCATTTCATACGGTAAGGGTACATAAATTATCATGAATTCATGTATAAGTTAATGCATGAATTATGCATTCATTCATGCATTCATATCTCATGAATCATCAGGAACGAACACAAGTTCAACGTTTTCATGAAGTCATGAATGAACAACACCTTAATAAAAACATTAACTAAGACGAGCACGTCATCATGACTTATGATTTATTACGCATGATCATGATGTTTTCTTCGTTCACAGTTATGCCACCTTTCAATAGCACATTGTTCATCAGTGTTTCAAAGGACCTAGTCACCACTTTAGTTAAGGGGCCACACACATGATGAAGTCATTGATAGATAATGCTTAGTTAATGAGGACTTCTGTATTTAATTTACAGAATTTGTGTGCTATGAGCTGTGATTGGTCTATTATGGTGTCTGTCCAATAGTCATTATTAACTAAGCATTAATCTATTAATGACTCATCATGTGTGTGGCCCCTTAAATAAAGTGGTGACTAGGTCACTGACCTAGACAAAGAACAAAGAAAACATCATGATCATGCGTAATAAATCATAATACATGGTGATGTGCATATCTTAGTTAATGTTTTAATTAAGGTGTTGTTCATTCTTGAAATCATGAATAAAAAACGTTGAACTTCCTGATGATTCATGAGAAATAATACAATAATTCATGCATTAATTTATACATGAATTCATGATAATTCATGTACCCTTACCGTAAAGTGTTACCCAAGTAACTTTGTGAACTTTGTTTTGCAGAAAGTACATCTCAAATGTGTCTTATGTCTTGATGTTTTCAGAGTCTTAGTCCATGCTATTCAATTTGAGAATGAACGCAGTCCGGATGGGGCCAAGGAGGCTAACTCTTCTAATTCTGCTGAGTGGTGTGTCATTTGGAGTGGTTGAACTGGAGTCCCTCCCTCAAAACCAACCCCAGTCTCTCAGTCCCAATCCACCTCAAAAGAACATTACCTTGGCAGTCATTCTACCTCTACAAAACACAATGTACCCCTGGGCATGGCCCCGGGTGGGCCCTGCCTTGTCTTGGGCCCTGAACAAGGTGAATTCTGACCCCAACCTTCTGCCTGGCTACCATCTACAATTGGTCTTCAGTAGCAGCGAAAACAAAGATGGAGTATGTTCGGATTCAGTGGCTCCTCTTGTGGCCGTGGACCTAAAGTTTTCACATGACCCTTGGGCTTTCATCGGGCCTGGTTGTGACTACTCGTCCTCACCCGTGGCCCGCTTCACCACGCATTGGGAGGTTCCGATGATCACAGGTGGGGCAAGGGCGCTTGGTTTTGAGTTGTACTCGTCCATCACCAACATTGGTCCTACCCACCAGAAGTTGGGTGAGTTTGTGCTCAGGATGCACCATCATTTCGGCTGGCACAAACACGCCATGCTCCTGTATAGCGATAATAAGAAAGATGACCGGCCATGCTACTTTGCCGTGGAGGGGCCGTACTTAGAGATGAATAAAGACAACATCACAGTAGAAGACGTGGTGTTTAATCCGAATGATGAAATCCGTTATGATGAGTTTGTCCGGGACATCAACCATAAAGCTCGCGGTAAGTGCAGGGCTCTCAAGTGTCACGCATTGAGAGTGACAGTCACTCATTTCTGTCTTTTGTTACGCACTCCCGCTACACATTGTATTTCTCACGCGGAAAAAATATTTATAATATTTATTTACTATGCCTGCAGCACCCAAAATGTATCTGGCCGCGCCACTCTCACTATGCAACCGGCAGGAATCAAGCACGTCACCCCTGGAGTTCTTATGGTGCGTCCAAGTCATCTCGTATAGATCGTATTTATTGAACGCACTTGGACGCCACCACAATTTCGTAAATACCAGTGGGGATTTTCTTTAAACCCCAATCTTTCCGAGTTGTGGGCATGTCACTGAGAAACATGGCAAAATACCACAATACTTAAATATTATGCAGTGATATTGTCAAGGTTTTCTTATTTACAGCGCAGTTAAGCAAATTGCCTGCACCGAATGCGTCGTAAACATGACTTCCTACCTCGTACGTACAAACTTCCCCAGGAGGACTTGAACGCACCATTAGTCGAGCCTGCTCAATCAAAAAAAAAGAAAAAAAAAGAAGGGGGCTTCACAGTACCCAATCAGAAAAGAGCACTATTGTATCTGGGTAAGATTTAACGCAACAACCAATGACAAAAAAAGTATATCCTGGAATTGTTCACATGATTCTGCTTCAACATCTTCAGAAAGTTTCAGAGGAAACCATTGGAGTAGGGATGGGCGATACCACTTATTTTATTTTATTATTTTATTTTAAGGCCAGTATCGCTGATAACGATACCGATACTTCTAAACTAAACTTTTAAATTTGAAAATTTCTTAAATGATTGAATTACTAATATTAAAATGAGTAAATACCGACTTAACATTGTATTTTAAAGGCATTTTAACATTCAAGACGCCTTAATTGGAACATGTTAGATTATTTTTTTGTGGTTAAGTGTGACATGGGTGGCCAAGGGATGTCAAGTCGAAATAGTAGGCTAATGATAAATGTCACACTGGTCAAAAGAAAAAGCTCTTGCTCAAATGAAATGAAATGAATGTCATTGATTTGAGGAAGCTTTTGTCATCATTATTTATTGTAGCACATTCAAAAGCTTCGTGCACACAGCAGCGTAAAACAGTTGTCCGTACTAAATGCTCTTCTGAAAAAGAAGTGTGCTCAATCATATTGAATGCTCACTTGTAAGTGTACTTCAAATCTTAAACGTACTTGCTAATATCAAGTTTTGTCACGAAACTCCTGATAGATCCTTAACTCAATTTGGTAGTGATATCATCGGTATCTACATGGCGCATAGCATTAAATTATTACAAAAAAACATTACATCCAGTTCACACTTAAGTATATTCTTCAAGGTATATTTTTCCATAATAAGTTCTTTTAAAAAGTATGCTTTTTCACAAGAATATGCTTGTGTTTATAATGAACTCACAACTTGAAATATACTGTATATATATATATATATAATTTGATGCCATGCGCTAATAATTTGATGCTATGCGCTATGTAGATACCGATGATATCACTACCAAATTGAGTTAAGGACCTTAAGGAGTGTGCAATGTGAATATTAAGTTGAATATAAAAATCTGGTAAAAAAAAAAAAAAAAGTTTTTCCACTTCTGACTATGTCACCTGTATTTTTATAAAGTTGTGTGCCCTCAAAATGTTTAAATAAATAGTAATAGTAATATTAATACAAAAAATAATGAAATAATTATAAATCACAAATAGCATTCATTTGATATTTCACATGCTTAATATAATACATTACAATTACAAAAGTACAGACTCCTAAAACAGTAATTATGTTCTAAGATAACAAAAGAAGAACAACGTTAAATTTGACTGCTAATGCAAATATTGACATAAATGTGAGTCTGTGACTGACAGGTTTATAACTAAACAGATTTGCCTATAGACAGATTTATTACTCAAGTATGTCTGTGAGCTGACACATGTGAGCAAAAACAGGAAGGCCTGAGAAATGAGTACTGAAGCACAGCTCTGAAAACTATTAACACACAAGAGATGCAAGAGCACTCTACCTTGTCCCCGTGTCCCAGCAGAGGTTGATAGAAACACTTGAGCATTTCATAAAAGAGAAAGAGATGTATAGAAATGATGAGAAGAGGAGTGCAAACAGAATAACTTTGAGAAAATTGCTGCCTCAATGTTGGCGACACACACCAAGTGAAAGAGACATGATAGTCAAGGTCGCCTCCTCTTCAGGGACAGAATAAAAAGAGATTGATAGAGGTATAGTGTAAAAGATACTTGCTTCTCTTTTGTCCTTTTCACATTGTTGCAATGATCTCAAATGATTCTGGATCGATCCACAAGAAATTTTAACCTGATTTGATTTATTATTGTTAATATTTTTATTAAAAAGCACAAAGCATTACAGATAAGTTAACACTCAAAGATGACATGTCCAGTGAATCTGTAGCATCTGTTGCACATTTATATCATTTATATATATTTATATCACGCAAAAGGTGCTTTTATATGTTGTTGTTAGGTGAAAGTTAAAATGGTAATATAATTACCATAAGAAAAACCATTAAAAAAAAAACTGAATATATTGCAAAATGTAATCAGCCCTAGTTTCTCAGCATGCATCATGCCATGCATTACAAAACCTGTTATGCATGCCAATGTCACAGCACAATTTTCATGACAATAGAGTGAATTTTTCCAAGGGATGAATTGTCTTTTTTGCCGATTTCTGTGGTCTTCACAGAGTAATATGTTACGAGTATAGGGGCTTGGAGGTTTGGACCGGTCCTGGTGGTTTATTTTATCCAGCAGTGCTGGTAAGCCTCATTGTGAACGTCAGTGCTCTGGCTGAGAAGTAGGCGTAGAGCTAATTCAAACAGCATGGTTTTGTCCAAGAGCTGGATTACATCCTGAATTTGTGCCTTTCGTGTCCGTGTTTACCCCCAGAGCGCTGTTTACTAAATCAAAGCTGCGATATGTGTAGAAACAGAGATCATGAAAAAGAGAAACATACCAGTATAGTATCCTGAGGGAGGTTGTGGAAATTCCGTCATTGTAATTACAAACTAATGCTGGTCGCAAATGTATTTTTTCTCACATGCTGGTATCGAGAGTGTGATATAAATGCTTATTCCATATGGCAACATGGCTTGTTTGGTGAACAGTTGCTGAAAGTGTCACTTCAGTCTGGTTTATTGTATGTTTAGTGACAGAGCTCTGACATTCCCAGTTTGTCATGTTTTGGTGTTACAGTCTTCTTTTTGTGAACACATGGCACATGGTTTTCTTGTGTCATGTGCTCCCTTGTCTAGTGTCTAGCCCCTCCCATCTTGTTATTGGTTAATTTGTCCCACCTGATTTTCTCATTACCCTCCTTGTTTGGTTCCCTATTACAGTTTTTTTTTCATTGCTAAACGACAGTGAGCACAACTACAGTCTGCACTACCAACAGTCACCTGAGCACAACTCTTAACACATGGCTCAAAACAGGCTCAGTTTGCACAACACTATGCACAACCCTCTCTGAGATAACACAAATTGTCACTCAGAAACACACTGAGAGGAAAAACACTAGCATCAAACACCAATATCGAAAATACTAACTTTTCATCTTTACAGTTTCAGCAATTTCAGTGACAAAGAAAAGAGTGACATTCTTTTACATGATTTATAGAAATTATTTTAGGTAAATGAAAAGATTTCATTATTATTAGATTTCATACATAAACTGCAAAGTAGTTAATAGGTAAGAATATAAAAACTGACTGTAGATAAATAACATACTAAAATAGTTTTACAAAAAAGTTCTTTACTATGGAAATCTGCTTCCAGACATGTTGGTGCACGTCTGTCTGGAGTGTCTATTTAGAAATTACCTCAGAGATTGGCTGCGCTCCACGGCACTTAGGCTGGACTAGCACAATCTCCTTGGCCGCCATGATTGAACTCCACTCAACAGGAACCAGGTGTTTCCATAGAGACAGGGAGCATCTGCCCAAATGCACAAAGACAAGTGGGCGTGACAAGACCTGTCACCTGTCGACTGAATCGTATGTTTTCATTTAACATGGAACAGAGCTGTCATAAAAATAAGCCTGTAAACCAGACGTCCACACGTGGACCAAACTAACAAACCCACAGATAGATACCACCCATCCACTCACAACAGAAATACTTTTACCTGCCTCAACGCCCACACATAAAAACACACAACACATTCTTGACTATCACATGTGGTAACAAACCGCTGCAGAACTATTGACTAGGGCTGGGTATTGACACAAATTTCCCAATTCGATTCGATTTCGATTCGATATTGATTATTTTGGATATCAGTTCCAATAAATGGCAAATTTTCTCAAGGAAATCAAATCTCTCAACTAATGCTGTAAACTGGGAGTCTAGTTGTAGCCTACTAGGCTTCATTAGCCTAATATGAAGGTAATAATGAACTGTTTTGTAGCTACACAAACACTTAAATTACACTTTTATTTATTTTTATAATATAAGATTATATGAAATACAAACATTTAAATGGTGGCTGTCATAAAAGCTTGCCATATTTATTCAAACATGCATTAAATATTGAAGAATATTAAGATTATAATGCATATGTAATATGGTGTATTACAAAGTTGATCCTCCCCTCATACCTTAACCTACCCTTAAACCGACCCATACCACCACACCCGTCCCTAACCTTACCCGTATCACACCTCAATAGCAGCGAAAGTGTTTTACAATACATCCACACAATAATACATTGTACTTATTTTTCGATGCAAGTACATAGTACTTAAAGCCACTTAATATAAAGTGGGACCATGGTATTAACTAGCGATTTTTATTTTTCATTACTTTGTGCCCTACTAGCGTTTTACCCTAAACAATTTTTTTAGAGATAAAACTGTTTACATTCGATTATCATGAAAATAAATTTTAGAGAACGGTTGACTAGGGACCAATGTCTTATTAGACCAAAGGTTCATTTTGCGCCGGAGTTGTCCTTT